CTCATGAAGCATATATAACTCACACGTGTCTTGACTTTGTCAAACACCATGACCCCAAGGGAAAAAAAATATTTTCCAGTGTCAGTGTGTTAAAGATAGTCACTATTTCATCATAATTTACAGACATAAATGTAACTTTTTTTTACTTTTTTGGGAAAATTCATGCTGTCTATGTTTGCAAAGTAAGCTCACCACAATTACTTTCCAGTGGTTTATATTATTGTTCTTTCTTGGCTAAAGTAGTCGTGCAATGAAATAAAAGCAGAACCAAAATATGGTGAGGTCAAGGGATTTGAGCTATTTTTTCTCATCTGTTTAGATTTTAGAAATAGGAAATCTTTTTGTTGGCATTTGGTCTTTTCTTTGTCTTTTAATTTATTTTAAATGAGCTAACAATTTTGGCTAAATGAAGAGGGTACATATGTGAGGGGTGAGGCGAAAACAGATACCACTTCATCAGATTTTCAGCTGGGAGAGTAGCCCAGTGGAAATGCAGGTGCCGCCTAACTCAACTCGAAGGGTAGCTTTGGTTAAAGACTATGTTTGGTGAATGAGAAGAAAGAGCTTTATCTGCCACTTTGTTTCCTCTCAGTACCATTTCCATTTAGAAAATATTTCAAGGGACTGCACCAGTTAGAATCAAAGTCATATCCTTAAAGCCTGCTGAGGGGCTCACCTGCCGCTGGGCTCTGGCTCCAGCTGCACCTACCTGCTGAGCAGGGGCAGACAATGGCTGGATTACAGCAGTGGTCACTCCTGCCTTTGGAGATGATGCTCCTATTGTCAAGGAAACAGAAGTCGTTTTCTTTTGAGCTCTGCAAAATAGGGCAGCAAGTCAGAGTTTTTAGCAGGAATTATTCTTTAAAACATTTCCACAGAAAAGCTGGATTGGATTTTTTTTTTTTTGCATACTTAATCTTCAGAAATGGGAACCCATCACCCATAGCTGGAATCCCTGTGGTCAGTGCATGCACAGACCACACTGTGTCTAGAAGACAGTTAGTTAGCAAGATAAGCATATGAATAAAAGAAAATAGCTCAATGTAACTCAGGTATCAAAGATTCTAAAGCATCAAACTTAAAAATGCTAAGAGAAAATATCCGAGAAAGAGTCCAGTCTTTACCAGTAAGCAGATACTTGAAATGTTTAGGGTTAGGATCCTCTACGTAATAACTCCAAGTGTTAGTTGTCTATTTTAAGTCTAACAGCTGATCTTTGCTCTGGTTTCTAATTTTGTTGAGAGTATCTTGGAATTCTTTTCTTAGTGCATAAAAGTTAGTAAAGTGCATAGGAAAGATTAAGAAGAGCTAGTTTCTAGGCCCAGCTTTGCCAAGCAGCTGGCAAGACATGTTAACTTCACTGCCCTTGACCTCCTTCTCTATAATCAGGGGTGGGAAAGTATATGGTTTCACAAGATCTCTTTAGCCCCTGTGATCATCTGATTCTAAATGGATAATTGCTAGGTAGGTATATACCAGCAGGTCAAAGGAATTTGTGTCTCAATATAAATGAAGTTTTCTATAAATTTCTGGTAGATTTCTTTTTTTTTTTTGCTAAATAATTAAGCTGTTCCATTTTATTAACAGTCCATGTATCTTTATAGGAACAACTAAATCTGGTGATTTTCAGGTACAAGATATAACTAGAAATATTTTTTTCTCTGAATGAAAATCCATTCTTGGCCTAATTAAATATTTTCCAATTTTTATAAATTGGCTCTTATTTACATTTTAGTAATGACATAACTGATTATCTCTCAGTGTGATAGCTCTTTTCATACATCTATAATTAGACAGTTGTCTTTGAAATTAGCATTGTAGGCTCGGCGCCTGTGGCTCAAGCCGCTAAGGCGCCAGCCA